CCTTGTTTTTGTACTGGAAGAGACAATCAACAGACAACCCCCAGCTGCCTTTCCACATTATTCATGTTTAGTAGGTCTCTAGCAGTTCCTTTAAGCTGTCTCTTTCCCAACTGAAGAGTCCTAGGCTTCTTAGTCACTTTCAGTATAAAAGCTCTTCCCTGCCTTTGATCACCCCTGTTGCCATTCTGTGAATCTGCTCCAGATCTAATGTATCTTTTCTGACACAGCAGGACCAGAATTGCACAGTACGGGTGAAATACAGATCTATATAGTGGCTGTCTATTTTATGCTTTGCTGTCAATTCTTTTTCTAATCATTTCTAATATATTATTTTCTTCTTTTGACTGCTGCTGAGGACCAACACAATGTTTTCCTAGAGCTATCTATCAAACTTCCAGAACTCTCTCCCAAGTGGCAGAGGCCATTTTAGAGACCACCACTGCAAACATGAAGTAAGGACTGCTTTTTCCCCATGTGCATCACCTTACTTTTATCTATACTGAGTTGCAGTTGCCATTGTATCGCCAAGTTTCGTAAGGACCTTCTGAGATCCTTCATGACTGGCCCTTGGCCATACTACTTTGAATAACTTTGTATCATCAGTAAACTTTGTCAGCTCCCTGTTCAGCCTCTTTTCCAGGCCACCTGTGAATATGGTAAACAAGACAGGATACAGCACAGACCTCTGCAGAATTCCAGTGGTAACCTGACTCCACTGTGAGAACTGATCATTTATTTCTATCTTCTGTTTCCTATCTTTTAATTTATCCCTGCCAGGATTCTCCTGTTTATGGCATAGCTGGGATGGTAAGCTACTTCACTACCTTCTTCTTTATTCCTCCACCCCCCAAAATATTTATTTTAGTTAAAAAAACAGAGGAGGAGGGCCAACCATCACAGCATTTTATTGAGTTATTAAAGATGACAGCACAGCAGAATCCTTTGTGGTAATGTTAAAGCTTCCGGTATGTCAACGGCAATTTGAAAAGTATCACAAATCCCAAAGGTAATTTTCTTAAAATTCAGAGCAAGCAGAGGAGAAATAGCACAAGAATTGGATGATATCCAAGCAGACAGAACACTACTACCAAGAAAACTTTGCCATCCATCCATCCTTCCATATGAATGACAGCAAATGTGATGGGCAGGTATACTGATCAGGCTCAGAAGAATTTGTGGATACAGTTGTTGAGAAGAGCAAGCATAAAGGCATCTGGATATTTATTATTCAGTCTTTCCGGTTCAGATTTGTCACCTGTTTTAGAAGTATCTATGGTGCTTGACGAGATGCAGAATGCAACAGAAACAAGTCATGAATTTTCTAGTCTGCAAAATTTTATTAAGCAACAGCTGGACAACTCTTACAACTCCAAATCATCAAGGAAGAATAGGGCAATCAGTCCATCTCTCAGTCATGTAGACAGTAAAGAATCTGGACAAACCACATTATTATAGGGAAACCAACAATGCTTTCTAGGCACCTCCTGCAAAATCTATTACACAAGATACATAAAAGGATAGACAGATCAGGGTAAGTTTTTAAGTATAATGGAAATCAGGTTCCGGATGGTATATTGAGGAGAAAAAAAAAAAAAGAAGAGGTTCAAAAAAATGTGTTTAAAAAATGGTTAGGTGTGTAAAAGTATACAAATGGTCTACCAAGTTTTCAAAAGGCTTAAAAAAACATGCTGGGCTTGCTAGCTTAAGAACGCACGCACCTGCATGACTACACGCTCGTTAAATAAAAAAAACAAAGCCAAAAAAATCCGAATTCATGGTCAAAGTTATAGTACCAAAACAATGCATTTATAAACAAATGCAACTCCCCTACTTTTTCAGGAAACTCTACAGTGCCTTTTCAATCAAATGCATCCCCATGCTATTCCACAACACTATATGTTTTATCTACAATAAACGACGAGATCTTGAACACACATACCCTCCCCCAAACACACAAAAAAGGGAAAAGAAGAAAATGCAGAAATAGTGAAAAGAAAATAAATGAAAGGCAAAACATATGTCTAGCAAACAAAAGAAATGAAGGAAAATGACAAAGTTCTGAACAAATAGCTTGGAACAACATAGGTGGGAATTACAAGCTGAGCACTATTCGTATGAAATACTAGAAACTCAGGTGTCTGCACACTGTTCAGAAACATTTCTCTTTTATTACTAATCTTAATTCATATTGTTAGAACTAACCATCTACTTGGTCAGTAGGATAAACATCCCACAAATAGACAACATTTGTTAGGATTCAGAACTGCTGCATCAGATTTTATTTTAAAATTTATAGTAATGTAAATTGGAGAGCAAGGATTAGGATTAAATAGGCAGGCTTTAATATCATACCATCCAATTTTTATATTGCACTCTCTGGGTAGGCAAGTATTTGGTGTTCTCATTTTTTTTTTTTAATCTTACAAAGTCACATTGTTTTGATCCTGCAATCAATTCGGTATCAGCAAACCTGTGTACTGTATAGCGCTTCATAACGATCAGTTCACCCTGGAGCAGAAATTTCTCACTGTGGATCCGTTTGCGACAACAAAAGTTAAAGGGTGTGGTTTTTAATTTTCCTAACCAGAATTGCTCCACTGAATCCTCTGTTGTTCCCTTTATTTGGTTAATTCCTTTTGTCTTAAAAACCTCATTTCTAGATGCAGCAAAAAACAAGCAGCCCAAAGAAATTCTCTCTTGATACATCTTCAGAGATCTCAGGCAGCATGCAAAGCTTAGCGTCTTTTAATCTTAAAACTTCTCTGCAGGATTTTTTAGAAGAAAATTAAATAAATATGATGATTGCATCATTCATTTAGACCATTGTTCATAAATGCTTATTAACTGTATTCCTTCCAGAATGATGCACATAAATTCCAATCCTGCAAGAGGTCCTGTAGTACACACCTGCAGACTACTCATGATGTTAGTAAGATTCTAAATTGGTATTTGCTGATGGAGGATTGTGCTTGTCTTGGAGGTGAAGGGACTTCAAAACAGGAAAATCCATCTACCAGCATTTTTTGGTTTTCTTCAAAAGCATGACAATATTTATTTTCTTATACTGGAAAAATCAGGGTATTAACTTCCAAATAGCATAAATAGCTTGCTCTCCTGTGATGGAATCCTAGAAATGGGAAAAATGTCAAAATTCTGAATGACTACCCCGTGGCCAGGATTTTACGTAAGGGGAAAGTATATTTTGGGTCAGATTCTCTTCTCTCATGTATCTTGATGTAACCAAGTAACGAGGCTAGAACTCGGCCCTTTGTTAGCATGCCACACAAAACTTGTCTGTGACTGATCTGCATGACAGAATTGCTGGTCTGGAGTGATTTGGGCTCTGCAGAAATGTGCCATTTCCAAACAGTGCTCCTAACTGTTGCTCTGGCAAACCCATTTTTAAAAGCTAGTAAACAATCTCTCTTTCCCCTCTCAATCAAATCAGCTTTAGTACACGTTGCTCCTTTCAGATGAGGATTTAAACTGTTGCTGACAGATAACAGGGCTCCAAGATAATATAGGATCACTCATATGAGGCTGCAAAAAACAAACACACAAGAATTGTCTGAGGCAGTGATCACGCACGCTCATGAATTTATTGGAAATTTCTGAGAGGATACTAAAGACACTTCAAGGAAAGTCTGGACTTACGAAGAGTCTAGACTGAAGGCTTCAACAAAGTCAGATACCTTTGTCTGACAGCTTTACACCATCACGCATCTTCATAAAAACATAGAACAAAACTGGAAAAATGTGGACCTATTTTACTGTTTTTGCACCACAGAAATTTTAACTGAGATGAGCTTGTGTGCACAATTACCATCACAAAACTGATACTCAGGCTCGTCATGGCGTCTGTTACTGCCACATCTAGAACTGAGTGCAAAATTATTAATGTGGCAATTCTCTTTTTCCCTCTTTCATTCCCTGCCTTCCCTTCCCCTTTCTTATAACACTGCAGAAAAACAATATTCCTG